CTACCCCAAGTGAAGGAGTTCAAGTACCTCAGGGTTTTGTTCACGAGCGAGGGTAGAATGGAGCAGGAGATTGGCCAGAGAATTGGGGCAGCAGGGGCGGTATTGCGGTCCCTGTATCGCACTGTTGTCACACAAAGAGAGTTGAGCCGAAAGGCGAAACTTTCGATCTACCGGTCAATCTTTGTTCCTACCCTCACCTATGGTCATGAGAGATGGGTCGTGACTGAAAGAACGAGATCCCGGGTACAAGCGGCTCTCCTCAGGAGGGTGGCCGGTGTCTCCCTTAGGGATAGGGTGAGAAGCTCGGACATCCGCGAGGGACTCGGAAGTAGAGCCGGTTCAGGCATCTGATGAGGATGCCTCCAGGGCGCCTCCCGAGGGAGGTGTTCCTGGCACGTCCAGCTGGGAGGAGGCCACGGGGCAGACCGAGGACCAGGTGGAGAGATTATATCTCAACACTGGCCTGGGAACGCCCAATCAGAGTTGGCCGATGTGGCCAGGGAAAGGGAAGTTTGGGGTCCTCTGCTGAACTTGCTACCCCTGTGACCCGACCCCAGATAAGCGGATGAAGATGAATGAATGAAAAAAATGTATGGTACAATATAGAGGTCAGCCAAAAAAATGGTTTTCCCCTATGGAATACATTTCAAATGTGAGCAAATACCCATACAATATAAAAAGGAAAAGTATATTACGAAAACAATATTTATGTTTTATACCTTTTATACCTATTGAGCAATTTTCTCAATAACTTCAAAGCACGGATTTCCTATCTGCAAACCAAACAAAAAACAAAAACTTGGCAATGACATACAAACATAATTAGCTCACAATTAAATGGGTTCAAATGTTAACTCACAATTGATTCCATTTCCTTGTTCAATCCAAGCCCCCAGAGGTCAGCTCGGGTCAGGCAACTTTTTCCTGTTTTTACAATGAGCTCGCCCGCTTGGTTGTCGGTGTCCAATACGTATTTAGGCTGATGATTGTTGAAGAAAAAAACAAAATCATAACAAGCATAATATTTAAAATTATAACATAGGAACATGGCTGGTACGGCTTCAAGATGAGAAGCACATATCTCTGTCTAATATATCAAACAGCTCTTTCTTTCTTTTAAGAATACATACCAGCTGCTCTTGGGCAGGATGAAGCTTGAAGGTCCATGATGCTCGGCATGGTCTCACATTCTCACTTTGTGTGATCATTTCACAATGTGGTCCACAGGCATTAGTGTCTATTAAAAGGGAATTAAAATATAAAATCTTGCTAATACTATTTTGTGTTGATTTTTTTAAAACATACTACCTACCTGTGTTTGGGTTGGTGGGGAGCCCATGTAGCTGCTGAGGTGTTCCAGCTACTGCAGGATGATGCTGTGTAGGCATATCAGGTGCTGGGGGTCCTGAGGTTTAAGAAATCATTATCAGGCAACATAAGCATTATATTTCCAATTACCACTAAGAAACAAAACATCTGTCTTTAAATTAGTTTTTACCAAATACTGCTTGTCCAAATTTGTCCAGTGTGATGTCTTGCAAACGATGTGACTCACGTCCTCTCTGTAGTTGCTTTTCTAAAAGCTGTGCATTTGTTTTGTTGTTTCTGTGATGTATTCGGTTTCTCTTAAAAAAAACGTGTGTTGAGGGTGCCATGTTATTGAGGAAGTAGTTGTTTTTGCGCATACATGAAAAAAGTTGCTCGGCCACCTGGCTATTCAATGAACCCTGAAGTTCTGGAACCAGGTTGATCCTCCTCAACACTTCCTGTGGGTCTTTGGTATTGGCCTCATGGAATTTGTCATACAAGACATAGTGGTCTGGGGAGCCAGTGCATGGATGCCCATCTTTATCAGGATTCTGCAACATTTCAGTCAGCCATGGTGGGGAGGTCTTGAGTTTGTTCTGCTGAGCTGCTGTGATGTTCAGTGGTGTCGATGCAGCCAATCTCCCTTCATGTGGTTTGAAAGGTATCACAGTTGGCCAGCGTAGGTTGACATGAGTTGCCAGACCCCGAGCAAAGTCATAAACAGTGTCATTTGGCAGGAGTTTCCAGGATAGAAGGAGGTCAGCAAAATCTCGTGGAGACTCTGCACGCAGGTTAAACTTCAAACTGTACACCACACCATATGGGCAAAGAATCACTGACCTTCAATGGAAAATTGAAAAAAAAAGTTTAATAGTAAACGTGCAAGTAGCTAATCCTAGGTAGTTATCATGCAGTTAAATGTGACCCTTACCAGATGCTCCCCAGATTTTCTGGAATATCTTGTCGTATGAGTGTCGTGTCTTCATCTCTTGCCTAAGTCTAAGAATCAGATCCATCCGCGATCCCTTCGCATCCAAATTACAGGCCTGGCACAGTTTACGCACAGTTGAAACCTTTTGAAATACAGACAAGAAATAAAGTAAGATGTTACTGCACAATGCAACTCAAACAAACATACATGCATACACAACAACTCTACTTTCTTCTTCATGAGCTCATCCACCAGCTGGTCCTCTGACACCATGCTGACTTCAGCTTCAGTGGAGGACTTAGCAGAGGATGCTTTTTCAAATTCTGTGTTTAACGCCATCTCAGATTGAAGTGTATTCTTTCCAATCCATGGGCCCCAGTACTCAAAACTAGGTCTTACACTGAAGCTGTTCTTTGCACGACCGGTGAAAAGTAAACGTGACATTCTTAATATGCTAAAGTGCATTGCATCATTAAGTGAGGGTAATTACTAATTTACGGAAAAATGAATATATACATACTTTGGACAAAGCCACGAGAAATCATCTGCAGCTGTACAGAGTCCCAGAACTCTTCAATGTTAACTTCACCAGTGAGTTCTCTGGGGCATCTTTGATGTCACTCACTGAAAAAAAGGAATTCATTTAACTAGTTTTGAAAATACTATGATATAACTCCCTCCCAACACACAAGACACTGTGACTTACCAGGGAAGTTGAACACTCCTTTTTTGTGTAGGTCCATGACAACTACTAGAGGATAGTAGCCACAGCAAACAAGAAAAAGAGTAATCATGGCTTGTCAATTCCTCAAAGTGGCAGTAGGCGTGCAGAACTGTATCTCTGGCAGGAATTGTCACCTTCCTTAGGCCTTCAAGTAAAATGCATCATGTTTGAATTATAGTACATGAACTTCAATTCAAATGAATGTATACAGCCTGCAAACTTAGATTGTCTTTGCTTACAGGTAAAATGGCCACTTGCACCAGGTAGTGTAAATGAGGCCTTACTTATGTAGAAGAAGTAATAATGACTACGAAAATACTGCACTACGGGTTAAAGTCCGGCATTCAAAAACATACTTAAGTGAAAGTGGCTAAAACAAGACACTTTAGTATTTAGTATGTTATGTTAGAAGCAAAATGTACTCAAGTATCAAAAATAAAAGTACTGGTGGTGCAGAAGCATGCTATTTCTCAGTAATTTCAGTTGCTATTCGTTTTGTTTATATACTGTAGTATACAACAGAGGTGGAAAAATAAAAAAATAAAAATGTGCCATGTAGTCCTGCCACATTTTGATTCCACTTGTGCACTTAAACAGGTGATATCACTAATTAGCTAGTCGACCTCTGGCAAAACATCATGGTGTGTTGCATCGTGTTGGTAGCTTGGCTGTCTCACATATCACGTTTGTGAGTTCAGAAAGACACGTTTTCAACTTTGTGACGATGCCCACCTAATGCAAGGAGAGTTTACAAAAATGTTTTATAACGTTACATACAAACAAATGCGAACAGTTACTTTACGTTATGCACTAAAAAGTTAATAATCCCTGAGAACTTAAGGTGTTGATGCTAACAGCCATTGGTGAAAGTTAACTTTGACGTTATCTAACTTAGCTTCAAAACGACAACCCAAACCAACATGTAACATTCGGTAATTTGCATCATTAATGACTTCTAAAACGTTACTATTTTACGGCACCTATATTGACGAAGAACACAAGAAACCATGCATTTACTTTCTGTGGATAAGCAAAATCAGCAACTCACTGCTACTCAGGACATATGCTGACTCGCTGGTCTCCCTCGAATTAAAAGGCAGGTGAAATCGACATTTAAACGTCCTCACTTTATTTGCATTACTGAATTATTTAATTAATTAACTTAAATAATTATTTGTATTACAAATTAACTTGTTTTAAACCCTGTACTTTTACACCGGGCTACAAATATGTAATGATAAATGCACTTGAGATACATAATTGAGCAAAAATAATTATTTAATTTGCTGCTCATGTGAATCCTCCCACAGTGTTTCATTAGCAGCTGTAACCACAGTGACTCTGATAAAACAGGAATTAGCAGAATCCATCTGATATAGCTATAAAATACTGGACCCAGTCTGACCTGGTAAATGTTGGGAAACAAATAGAAATTTTATAGGAATAAAACAATGTGTGATAAATGCACTTTAGATACATAATTCAGGTCACAAATCTATTTATTTAACTAAAAGATTCAATGTTAGACACGTTGTTGTTCAGATGTCACATATTACTCATTTTAATTTTCAGTGTTGATTTATTTGTTTCCATGGTGTCTTGTGTTTGAAGCATCATCCAGTTGGTTTGTCATTGATGTGGATTTGCTGCTCATGTGAATCCTCCCACAGTGTTTCATTAGCAGCTGTAACCACAGTGACTCTGATAAAACAGGAATTAGCAGAATCCATCTGATATGAAGCTGTGGTTTGAATACCACTTCCCTCCTCTTTGAAGAGTAGTCAGATATCTGTGTTCAGGTTTTTGTACAGCCTCTTCTACACTTTGTATCACTGTGTTTCTAGAGCACAGTAGTAGAGAGCTGTGTCTGCCAGGGTTAGTTTTCTGATGGTCAGTTCAGTTGATGAATCTGTTGTTTCAGATTCATATCGTTTATCTGGAATATATTCACGACCTGTGTTATCTTTTGCTCCTTTATAGAGTATAAACTGAGGAGCCTGAAGGTCAGAATGTCTGTACCAGTGAAGGTCTATATTGCTGTCAGTTGTCTCATATCGACATCTGAGTGTGACAGATTCTCCTTCTCTTCCACTGACTTTATCTCCTACAGGAGAGATTGTGTCTCCAGCTATTAGTCCTGGAAAAAGTGGAGAAAATGAAGCCATTAGACTAACATTGTTCATGAGGCTGAGAGGAGAAGACAGTGGAAAATATCAAGTGTACAGTGTTACTCTGTGGACAGAAACAGCTCAACTGTTGAGAGATTTCTGCTCTGAACTCCAGTTTCCATCAATCTTTAGAAAAGAATAAAAACATGTTGTGCTTTCTATCTTACCAAAGAAAAGAGCAGCAAGAATAATCCACAGCCAATGTTCCATCTCTACAACAAGGTTTAAATCAACAGGAGAAACTAGCTGATGTTCAACATTCAGTGTGACAATTGTTCTCTTCACAGCAGCAGTTATTATTGACAGAATGGTTGAACACAGTGCAGAAGTAGTGCACCGCCTACTTGATAATGTCGCCCTCTAGTGGAGCTAAAAAGTTGAGTCCAACAGTGTGGAAAAAAGGCTTCCAGCAGCTTGTCAGTGTGTCAGCTTGTGTTTTTGTACAGAGACTGTGGGTTTGCTGTCACTGTGGGCCTCACAGCACAGTAGTACAGAGCAGAGTCTGTCACTGCAGCAGAGGAGATCTGCAGATCCATTTGGGTTTTATCCTCACTCACTGTAACTGACAGTCTAGAGACTGGGTTAGACATTAACTTTCCTGTTCCTGAGTGAGAGATGAGGAACTGTGGTGGTTTTCCTGGATATTGTCGATACCAGAAGAAATATTCAGTTACATCAGCTTGTTTGTAGTATTTGTAGGACAGAGTAACAGTGCTGTCTTCTAAACTGAGACTCTTGTTTCTTGACTGCAGTGAGTTCTTCACAGCTGACACCTAAAGGAAGAGATAACTCTGTAACTTTATGATCTAAAGGTTTTTATCAATGAAGCTCTTTTAATGTTAATGATCTCACCTACCTCTTATTGTGAGCAGAAACAAAGTCACAAACAGACTGAAGTTCACTGACAGCATCTTAAAGATAAAGACAATCTGTCTGTTTTTTGGATGAAACACCACTGTGAAAGTTTCTGTCTTTTCTGTACTTGAGTCTCAGTTTTGCTCCTCCCTTAATCCCTCCCTCCTTCCTCTCACAACTCTGACAAATAGTGTGTTTGTCACTGCTGTGCTGCTGTTATTCACTAAATGCCATCATTTCCATCAGGTAACAAGTAGCTGATAAGGTCACACTGATTGACACTTTACAGCACGTGAAGGTCCTGACTGAGTTCAATCTTTAAACCTACTATAATTAACTTTTAACTGGTTATAAAACAGTCCATATTTAAGACTGACATATCTATATGATGAACATAAGCATACAAGACCTGCAGTGATTAGATTGATTCATTCTACATGTAAAATTGTTAATTCCTGCCACTGGGTCAGATTAAATCAGATTTCCATTAAAATCATTTCAATGAAACTCTACTGCTTTTGTCCACAGGCGCCAACAGAGTCTACAAAGAATAAAATGTCCTTGTTACTTTAATCAGATGATAAACTACTCTTCAATTACAGTAGACACACATCCATTACTTATTAAACACTCAAACAGTGTTATTCACATGACACATAACTTGAATTGAATTGAAAATAAATCACCTACAATGTTGATTTTCAGCTCCAAAGAGGAAGATTGTTTGCTTCTTTCATATTCATGTAACCCGGTTAAAAGCATGAAGTCATTTAGGAATAAAAACATTTAAATAGTTGATAAAAATGGTAAAAGCTGTTTAAAAATGATTAGATAAAAGATAAAAGACAGGTATTTGTGAGAACTGTCTGAAGGTGTTTCAGCACGGACAGGGGAAGGTCAGAGGTTAAGGGAAGCTGCCGGAGTGAAGCGATAGAGTGAGCGTGACCCAGAGGTTTTCTGAGTTCATTTGGGAATTAGAAGTGCACAAACCAGTGTGTAACTGGTGTCTTATGATTGTTTGCACAACAACCAGTAACAAGAGTGACAAACAGGAGGAGTTTCTACCTGAAGTTCAGAGACTGCTAATGCTAGCGCTTAGCCACCGTGAAGTGAAGCTCGAGTCAGTTCATTACGAGTGGACAGACATTTTCTAGTTCAAGTTTGACTCCCTCAGTTAAACAGTTTGAGGGCTTTGGCTGCTGTTTTCGACCTGAAGACGGAGGAGAGACCCAGACAGAGCGGGGAGCAACCGGGAGGAGGACAGAGAAACCGACGGAGTCCATGTTGAGATGCTGATAGGATGCTGAGCCTGAACCTGTGACTGAGGAAGGACGGGACACAAACCTAAACTCCGGTATTGTTTCTTTTATTTTGCTCGCTGACGAGTGAAGCGGCCATTAAGTGTTGGGCCACAACGAACACGTGCAACGCAACAGGCCTGCAACGGTACATTTGAGTTCAAAGAAATCTATTTGCCGGCTTTAGATTGCATTAAGGTGTGTGTGGGCCCACAAATTGTGTTTAAGTGACTTTAAAGTTGATCACTTGAACCTGAATGAATCCAGTTACGGGTTAAAGCGGTTATATTGATGTGTATATAAGGTACAGTATTTACAGTGTTTTCCTGAAAAAATAGGCTATTTCATTTATAGTGTTTTTCTTTAAAAAAGAGGTATTTTCCTGATGAAGAGGGACATTTTATTTTGAAGGTTTAAAAAAAGAACATTCATGTGTTTATTGCATTTTCTTATTTCATTTTAAGCAATCATTTCTTTATTAAGTAAATAATTGAGACTTCTTTTTCTAAAACCTTGGGTTGTGTCATTTTCTTTCTTACCTGGAAAGAGGTTATCATTTCATTCTGAGAGATATACAGACGCATAGGGTTATAAATATAACTTAAAGGGGAGTTCATAAGTAGGTTAAAATACGTCTCAGTTGTGTAGAAATCCAAGATAATATTTTAACTAAATTAATCAGGGTTAAAACTATTGGATAGATATCTGTAAAGAACCCAAAAGCCCTGCCCTTATCCATAGGACTATTGAGGGGAGCGCTACATAAAATGGAGGCACCGCTGGGATAGTCTTGGATTTCTCAGTTTGTAAAATAAAAAAAATAAAGAAAGGAGTTAAAGGTAAAGTGACCAACTAAAGTTACTAAGTTAATTTATCAGTAACAGTATTAAAATGGAAAAAGCTGAACTAGTGTCAGAGTTAAAACGCTGGTGCCGTGGTGAGGGTTTGGATGAGACTCATGCGCTTATGACCATCGTCCCAGAAGATGTAGAGATCAGTGAAGTGGAAGAAACACTGGAAACTATAAAGCCTTTAGGACGGGTGCGTGTCCGTGGGAGAAACTTCAGTGCAAGACTAAACCGACGGATGTTTTTGTGTGAGAGTAAAGAGACTGTGAAAGAGGAGTGTTCCTCCTGAAGTTGTGTCTAGTGATGGTGGAGAGGCGTAGCCTGTTATCATCATAGGAGAGGCACAGGCAGCTGCTGAAGAGTTTAATAGTAAACTAAAAGGGTTGCTGCAGGCTGAAGGGAAAACCATGGAGGACCTCAAATCACTGTTCCCCAGTGCATCCCCACCCACTAGCTCCACTGAATCCATCCTTCGCGCGGTCGGAGATCTGTTGGATAAGACAACAAAACCAGCTGATGGTGGGAGTTATGATCGTCTACGCATGTTCTCGGGAGCCCTACCAACACCGCCAGGTGAGGAACCATTTGACCATTGCCTAGAGCAGGCATGGCTTATGGTGGAGGAGACTGAATGCTCGGACAGAGAAAAAAGACGCAGACTCATTGGAAGTCTAAAGGGGCCCGCACTAGAAATTGTGAAAGCAGTGCGGCACGCCAATACCGACGCCAGCCCAAAGGAGTGCTTGGAAGCCCTTGAAAGTGCTTTTGGAAGTGCTGAGTCTGGCGATGATCTCTACTTTGCATTCCGATTAACGCAACAGCAAAAAGGAGAGAAATTATCAGATTTCCTTCGACGTCTAGAGCGGTCTCTAGCTAAGGTGATTCAACGAGGTGGCCTCCCTGCTAGCTGCATGGATCGAGCCCGACTGGAACAGCTGCTAAGGGGTGCTATCGCTTCAGACCTGATGCTGATTCAGCTGCGCTTGAGAGAAAGGAAGGCTGCACCCCCAACCTTTCTACAGCTTTTGACTGAGATTCGTGCTGAGGAAGAGTATGAAACTTCTAGAAAGAAGCTCAGTGCCTCAGTACGTCAAGTGCATGTTAATCCAGAAGTGGATACAAGGCAAGCTGAGATCCAGAGCTTAAAGGCGGAAATAAAAGAACTGAAGTCAATGGTTGCATCCGTAGTGACCAAATCAGCTAATGTTAAAGATGATTACATGGAAGCTACACCCATCAGTGCACCGCCTGGCCCCGAGAACCGGGATGACGTCGAGCTGGCTGACTAGCAACAAGATGTCTGAGCAAGGTGCTGCAGTTGCTGTTTCAACCATGGAGGCTTCTAAACCGGTCTCCAACTTCCCCAAGGGAGCACCGAAAAGTTCAGAAGAGAATTTCTGCTATAGGTGTGGTGAGAGCGGACATTTTGCCACAAAGTGCCGCAACCCTGAGAATCAAGCCAAGGTTATCAGAAAGCTAATTCATGCTTTAAAGGTGACAAAAGACAAACAGCAGTCTGGTGATGCCACCACCAGTGAAGTTAACTGTGGGGTTACGAAAAGTGCTGTTACCTCATCAGAGCCGGCTGGCATCCCTGAAGGCTTGATTGGTCCACCCAGTATAGTACCAGTGAAAGTAAATGGACATTGCTGTGATGCCTTGTTTGATAGTGGCTCTCAGGTCACCATTATCTTTGACTCTTGGTATCAAACTTACCTGCCTGATGTCCCAATACACCCCGTGTCTGGTTTAGCCCTGTTGGGGCTAAGTGAATCTGATATCAGCTATCCCTACTGTGGGTATGTGGTGGTCGATATGGAATATCCAGCGAAGGTTGCAGGTGCCGACCAGACAGTGGCAATCCTCGCTCTCATCTGCCCCCAGCCCCGAACTGCAGACCAGACTCCTGTCATTGTGGGGACCAATGCCAGTCACATCCGACGTCTTGTGCAGCAATGTAGAGACAATGTCATTGACGTCACCCAGACACTGGGGATGCTAGCATGTTGCAGAGATAACAATGTAACATCACCTAACACAGCCACAGCCCTGGAAGAGGAGGATGATATTGGCTGTGTGTTATGGCAAGGCCCTGGCCCACTGACTCTGCCCCCGGGTGGTGACTGTAGTGCAGTCTGCAAAGTCGAGTACAAGCACCAGGTCGACAAAGAAATCCTGATGGTTGACTCGTCGCCTGTAGCTCCACTCCCAGCTGGTGTGCTACTTCAGCCCATGGTGGTGCCCAGCGAAGAAGTGAAGACACAGTTGAAGTTAGTATGAGACTTCAGCAGTTAGATCCAGTGGGTTTCTTCTAAAGTTTAAGACTTTTTAACATGAAATCCCTCCACCACAGCTCAGTGAGCAAACACTGTCCAGGGAACTCTGGAATATATTTCTGTACAGAACGAGGACTATGGAGTTTGTCCCCCATCACTAGGATGGAATTGACATCAGGAAAATATATTTTAAAGACCAGTATGAAGGAATGATTACAGAAAGAATCATGTTTTAATGTACATATGAACATGTGAATGTTGTTTTAAGACAGACTGTTAACTGAATAACTATTTATTTTATCACTGGATCTTATTATCAGTGTCCACTTGATGGGGCTGTTGTTCAGTAAAAGCAGAAGCTGGAGTGTGTAAATCTTCAGTGAGGAGCTGTCAGGTTTTTGTACAGAGTTTTGGTGTTTCCTGTCACTGTGGGCCTCACAGCACAGTAGTACACAGCAGAGTCTGTCACTGCAGCAGAGGAGATCTGCAGATGAAACTCCTTTGAATTTTTGTCATGTGTTAAAGACAACCTTGCTATTTTCTCTGAATATTCCATGATGAGAAGCTGTGGAGGTGAACTGGACTTCTGTTGATACCAGTAGAGGTTGTCAACAGAGTCTGAATATTTACAGGAGAGAGTCACAGTGTCTCCTTCCAAAGCCAGCATTACATCTTTAAATGGTTTCACTAAATCCTCAGAGGATCCTGAAAACAACAAAGATATATTTCACTGTCACGTCTGTATTTCTCTAAAGTGAGTTTAGTTGTAGAAGAACATTCATGAATTTGCAAAGAACATGAAATGTTTTTGAATCATGTCTAACATATCTTGTTGAAGTTGATTTACCAGTATGAAAGATGAAGATCATCATCCAAACTAAAGAGAGCTGCATTATTTCCACTTGTACTGAATGAACAACAGAGAGAACACAGCAGCTCTTCACTTCCAAAATGAGTTGTGTAGCTCCTCCTCTTGCTGTGGTCTGTTTGCATTCAGGCTGATGGAAGCTTTAG